TTACCATACCAATAGAAACGATCAGAATTGATCCCAAAATGGCACAAATTATCGCAATAACCATCGATCCAATATAATTCCAGTGAGGAACACTAAACACAAGAACCCATTCCAATCCCTCCTCAGTACAAAGTCTATAAACCGAAATGACATTACTAACATCTGATAGTACACTTTCAGTATTGCAAGTTAATTCATCAAATGATTTAAAAGCTCCATAAACAATATTACCAATTTTGGTAACATCACCTCCAAAATCGTTTGCTGTTTTTCTTTGAACGTTTCCTTGAGAATCGACTGTGGCAACCGCAACCTCTGGATGGTCACTTGCAATAATGAAATCTGTCTTCTTTTCTATAATAAACGAAGATGAGCCACTCACTTCTTTTGTAATTTCAACTAAAAATTCAGAAATTGAAGCCACGGTCATGTCATAACCAAAAAAGTATGAAAAACTGGCACCTGACTTGATATTTCCCTGTTTGAAAGATGAGACTGCTGTAAGGAAGACAAAATTCGGTAAGGTTGGATCCACATACGAAACTGTAAACACCGGATTGCCAGGGTTGACTGAAGCAGATTCTGCCACAAAATTGGAAGTGAATGGAGGATAGACAATATCAGGTTCAGAAGATCTATTACAATAGTCACTAGTGTAAAAGTTTCGACAATTGTAATAGTACTGATCTTTTCCTGGAGTGATATTATAAAAAGTAATTTCATCCCCAAAGTGAGCTAGTCCATAAAAGGCTCCAAATGGATCACCTATATTGACTCCCTGGGTAACACTTGGTAGATATTTCTGAGCTACTCTCATGGCTTTAAACATGTGCTTTTCAATCATGGTGTCAAAATCAAAATCAGAATATAATTGAGATTTGACAGATTCTGTCACTAACATGACATCATTTAAAATCCTTTGAGTGAATGAAACAATCTTTTCAAATTCTTGTCTTCTCACTTTGCTGCTCATCTCACCAACTGCTGAACTAAAACTGCTGATCCAAATAACTGACAGCAAAACGACACTAATCAAAATTAATAAGGAAATTAAAATTATGAGCAGAAATTTAATGGAAGAGAAAAAGGTAGTTTTCAATTCATCGATACCATCAGCCGAAGAACTAGAAACACTTTCAGTTTCGTATTTGATATTAGGTGCAACTTTGGTCTTCATATTTTTTTTAATAAGGATCTTTAAGATGCTTTCTAATCTCTTTAATGTAAAGAAGTGTTTAATGGGCATCAACACCTCTTAATTGTCGGCTAAAAACTCATATTTCCAATAACCTATCTTGTGTCCATTGTAAATTTCGTTTTTTGCAAATACGAAACCACATCAAGAGACATTTAGCAAACCATAATGTGCTTATTATGGTGATGGAAACAAGTGACAAACCAGAATTGATGTCCAGATATCGCCACCAATTCCAACATAATCAATGCTGTAATACAGTTTAGGATAATAGGGAACAAACTTAAGGTTTTGTAAAATATCATTTATCTAATGCCAATATTCCTTATCATTTCTCAATCCTCCACACTCGTTCCGAATAGGTTTTAGATTAATAAACTACAATCAAAACATTTCGTTCCTTTGACTTGATTTCTTGTCAGTTATTCGAAATGTCAATCATCATTTTCACAATTCCCATCACAATTCCCACAAGAAAAAAATGTCCAGATACGATTTCAAAAAAGCGTTCAAAGCAGCAGAAATTGGCAACGTTTCTGATTTTAAAACTTTCTTCAATCCTCAACAAGTTAACAAATATTCGGACGATATTTTAAATAACAGAACTTTGTTATCTGTTGCGTGTCGGAATGGACATGTTGAAATTGTAAAATTGTTATTGGAGTGTGATGGGATTAATGTTAATATTGGCGTAAGTTGATTTGTTGGTGTGTTGTGGTTGTTGAGTATTTTGTAATAGTTTGTAAGTGTTTAATATTGATGTTGTAAATTATTAAATAGTTTAATAGATGGTAAGTTTTGATAAAAAAAATTGTGGATTAATTGGAGGATTATGGTAGCCAGGAACTGATCCGAACCTTGTTTTTGTAAGTTTTCATTGTAAATTCTTATTAAATCAAGTCAATTAGACACCCCTCCATTCTGCTTGCCAGAAAAATCAGCTGGAAATTGTAAAGTTATTACTAAAAGTGGAAGATTTAGAAATTGATTATCGTTTGAAAGTAAATGGAGAGCCTATTGGTAAAATTATGGAAGATATGAAGAATAATCAGATTGAAATTCAAAATACTCAAAAGAGCAATAGAGTTTCTACTTCCAATAATAGAAACTATTCGAAAGCTATTCATTATGGTGTTATTCTTCCTGAAGAAAGAAGAATAATTAAAGAAGAAAGAAAGATCGAGAGTTTAAGTTTAGAAAATGAAAAAATAAGAAAAGAAAGAAAACAACAACATGAAATTACTAATCAATCATTTATGGAATTATGTTCCTTAAATGAAAGAGTTTCCAAACAAAGAACTCTATTATCAGAAACGATTGAAAAAGTAATTTTTCAATCTAAAGAGCTATTCATTCATCAATCTATTCAAGAGGGATATTTTATTATGAAGGGACAAATATCAACATGTCACAATTTTATTAATGAAAATTTACCAAATTTAGTTTTGGATATTGGAATTAGAGAACACATTGAGCATGTTAATAGTTTACTATATTATATTGGATCGGTGGTAGAAGCAATTAATTTGGATAGTTACTTGATAAATCTCAATAGTTACATGCAATTATTGGAAGAAAAATTAGAAAAATTGAAAGAATTTATTGGAAACTATTTAAACGAAATTTATTCACAAAATAATGAAGCTGTTTATGTAAAAAATACGGAAGAAATTCCAAACTATATTGGAAATGCTTTGGGTAAAATAGTATCAGGAACGAATTTTGAACGAAATTCAAAAATAGGATTGGAGCTCGTTACAAAACAATTACAAAACATTACTTTTTCTTTAATTTCCTCTGTTGGAATTAGTAATACTGAATTATCATCCAGCTTGGGTAATGCTATGGAAAATTTAGAACAGGAAAGAAAGTACTTGGATGACATTTCTGCAAATTTTAAAAATTTAATTCCAAAAGAAATTCAGATTACAATTTTTCATTTATTTCATGATTATTATATTCAATATTCTACATGTGAAATGTTCATTCAAGATAGAATACCATTTATCATTGAAAAGTTTGAAGAGTTGCAAAGCCAAGTTGAAGTTATGAATAATTATCCTCAGTTGAGCTCTCAATTGACCAATTTACTTATTAGAAAGACAACATTGAGAAGTAAAATGAATACCTTAGATATTGAAGGAATCAAAAGTGCATTAGAAATCGCCAAGAAGGGAAATATGCCAGAAATGGAAATCTTAAAGTTTGAAAACAAACTAAGAAAGAAGGAGAGTCAGGTTCCTAAATATCAAGAAGAATGGAGGAATATTTACGAACAATTGAGAGAGCTCAAAACTAAATTCATTCAACTTGAAGGATTAGGATTTAAAATAGACCTGCTTTCAGATCCAAGTTTTGATGAAATTGAAGAAAATGATTTATTTGAACCATTGAACGAAAGGAAACTTCAAGATCAAGTTAAATTCATTGAAAACCAGTCAAAACAATTGAAAGAATATGAGCAACAATTGAATAATTTGAAACTTAACATGACAAATGAACATGCTGAGCTCGAGCAGAAAATTAAAGAACTAGAACAGAAGAAGAAACAATTATCAAGAGAAAGTTCAAAGGAAAGAGAGGAATTATCAAAACAAGTGGAAAGGTTGAAGAGAAAGGAAAAGAAACTTGAAAAGATGGAGAAGGAAATGATTGAAAACAAGTCGAAACAATTGAATATTGGGTTGCCTCGTTATTGGAAACGAAATAGTTTTAATAGATTTGCAGACAGATACAACACTGTTGATGTAACAAGTCAATTGAAAGATATTATACAAGAAATAATGAATGTTTCTTCTAACTCGAAAACACTTGGATCAGGAAGAGATCAACTCTACAAAATGAAATATTCGAAACTAGTCATATCAAGTGTTTACAGAATTGAAAATCCTTCCCTTTACAGTGCCTACAAGATACGAGAAAATCACATTTCTTCTTATCAAGATCCACTCAATCCCATTCAAGTCCAAACTGAAAATTTCACAACATTGAAATCTCCTGCTTTTGAATGGCTCAAGTCAACTGGATTGAACACATCAATGAATGAAAAGTATTTGTGGCATGGTACCAAACATGAATATGTGAATACCATTTCAGAGCACGGATTTGATGAAAGAGTTGCCAGTTTAGCTGGTCTCTTTGGAGCTGGAGTATACTTTGCTGAATATTGTTCCAAATCAGATCAATATTCTACTCCAGATACTAATGGCGAGTATTACATGTTTTTGTGTAGGGTTGTGTTGGGAAGACAGATCTATTATACACCTATGGGAATGACAAATCAGAGAAGACCACCAGAGATTAATGGATCCAACAGAAGAGTGTATGATTCAGTGATTGGTCAATCGAATAGTTCTAATTCTTCATATAGAGAATTTATTGTCTATGATAGATATCAATGCTATCCTGAATATTTGATTAAATATAGGAGAGAATAAATTATTTCACTTTCGTTTAAATAGATTATTGATCTACTTGATTCTATCGTATTATTGGTCATATTAATTTATTGTAAAATGTTAGGAGTTAATATTATTCGAAATGGCAATATGAATATAATAGGGTTTATTCTTTCCTGTGAAATTTGGATTTTACTCCAGGAAGTTGCCTTGAAGTTAAATTTGAATTTGAAAATTAAAACTTGGCTAAATTTCAATTTCCAATTTGAAAAAATTAAAACTTTAAAAAAAAATAAAAAAAAAATGGTAAAAAACAAGAAACCAGGAAAATCATCGGATGATAAATCAGCAAATAATCCAAAGGGAAATCAGCAACAATCTATTGATTTATCGGATCCTCTTGATCAGAGCTATAATCAAATTCAAGAAAATGCGGATAAATTATTGTTACAATCACCAGTTTTTAATTCGGTTGTTTTTAGAAAGTGGCATCAACGATATTTGAATGAGAATAATCCAGATGCATTGAAGGGAATGAGGATTTATGTCATGAAGGATACAATGTTGTCATTACAGAGAGGGTTTTATTATAATTCAAAGAAGGAGAAAGTTTCTATTAGAAACTTGGATAAAGAAATTTATGAGCAACAATTGGCAAAGAATAAGTTATATCAATTTAATGAAATTGAGAAGATTGTCTTCAATTCCACCTCTACTAATCAACAATTTGCTACTACCATTGAAGTAATTAAGGAAGATTGTGTTGAAACTATTTTCAAATTACACAAAAATGGAATGAATCCAGTTGTGCTAAATATGGCAAGTAAGAAGAGAGCTGGTGGAGGTTTTGAAACTGGACAGAAAAGTCAAGAAGAAGCTCTCTTCAGATCAACAAATTACATTTATTCTCTATTAGATCCAAATGATATTTTCAAAAAGTTTAATCCAAATTGTAAGAAACCTTCCCCTGATCAACAAATAGTTTCAGTTATTGGCCCAGATCAGTTCTATCCACTTTCTGATTATGATATCATTTACTCACCCAATGTTCAATTATTAAGACACGGAGAAGGAAGTGCTTTCGAATATTTGGATCAACCATTGGAAATTTCAATCATTGCAGCAAGTGCTTTCATTAGACCAAATACCTTTTTAGATAAAAAGACAAATCAACTCATGATGACGAGCAAGTTTGAGGAAGGAACAAGACAGAAAATTAGAGGAATTCTTTATGCAGCTCTTAATAATGGACATTTGAGTATTGTGTTGAGTGCTTTTGGATGTGGAGCATACAAGAATCCAGGTAAGTTAATTATTTAATTATTTGTTTTATTGAATTCAATTTATTTCAGAAAATCATATGGCTAAATTGTTTTATGAAGTAATAACTCAGGAATTTCCAAATAGTTTTAAGAGTATTGTGTTTGCTATTTTGGAAGATGGAAAAGATCAATCCAACTATTTGGCATTCAAAAGAGTTTTTGAAAAGTGCAAAGTTATACAAGTATCTACTGCCTCATCCTCAAGTTCAGAATAATTATTCGAAAGAAACAACTGAATAATTCAACTGAAGTTTATTAAATTACTAATTAACTAAATACTTAGTAATACTTTGTTTCAATTTCTTTCTTCCAACCATGGAGTCGTTCTAAAATAGTTTTTGCACTTGGTCTCGTTTTTGGTTGTTTATCCCAACATAGTTTAGTTAATTGACAAATCTCATAGAAAATGCTATGATATTTGGCATCTGTTGGTGATAGATATTCCTGACACCATTGTTGACATTCCTTTGCAGAAGAAAATGGAATGATAGGTCTGAGGTTTTTCTCAATCACTAATCTATGCAAATGGTACATGTTAGTCAATTGTAGTGGTTCATTCATTTTCAACTTTTTCAAAACTCTATCATGACATGAAATATAGGGCTCTTTCACTTCAAATAATAATTGGTAGAAAATAATGGCCAGACTGTAAATATCTATTGAAGTAGCACAAACTGATTCAGATTCTTGTAAACTTTCACATCCTGTAGTTTCTGGAGCCATATAGTAACACGTCCCCACTATTGTGTTTTGTGAATATAATTAAATATTGAGAACAATTTCATTGAAACTTACCATTGTTGGTCAAAGAATTGACAGTTTTTGAGTTTAAAATCTTTCCAACACCAAAATCGCATAATTTGTATTCTTTCTGAAAGCTCACAAGAATATTGAGGGGTTTCAAATCTCTATGAAGGCATTTTGGAGTCAAGGTATGTAAATAATTCACTCCCTCAATAATATCTATTAGAATATCAATCTTTTCCTGTAAATCCATTTGAATAACTTGATTCTGCAATTGACTAATGACATGTTCCAAGCTGTGTTCACAAAGCTCCATAACAATATATCTCTTCGTTGGAGAAAATGAAATGCCATAGAAGGAGACAATTTTTGGATGTCTTAAACGTGACAAGATTTGAAATTCTTGTTTGAAAGTTTCCTCCGACATGTCAAAATCATTCATGTCCACAACCTTAACGGCAACTAATTGGTTTCCCCATTTTGTAGAAAATACTCTTCCAAAAGAACCTTCACCAATCCTCTTGATTGGATGATCCATATCCAACTGTTCCAGTGGAATAACAAAATCTGCTTCATTGAGTTCACTATTACTGATCCCCATTGAAGAATTATAGGATGCAAAATCATCCATAAGCAATCTCTTGTCTAATAATTTGTCAGTCATGAGGATTGCTCTCTTCTTTCTTTGATTTTGAATATAGACAAAGACCATTGAAACAGAAATTACAAAAACTATTACAATAACCAAGCCACAAGCAATCAAACTTCCAACTAAAATTAAAACTGTTTTAGGTATCGAACAATCAATACCTGAATAATCATCCAAGCACTGACAAACATTTGGTGAAACACAAATTCCTTTGCCATTACATGCTCCAGATCCCGTCTTACCAAAGCATATTGATTCTGAGCAATTTGATCCAGAATAACCAGAATAACATTCACATTGATCTAAACTTTTACAAAATCCATGTGAAGAACAAGCATTAATTGTTTTTCCATAAATTCCAAAACAATTTGGAATGCATGTAGAATTAGTTTCAGGTTCCAAACTATAGCCAGTTTCACAGTGAGGAATTAACTTTCTAATAATTTGATTGTTATAATCGAAAACAACAATACTTCCAGTATTATCTACCATTAAAGTTTCTGAATTGAAATATGAATTTCAAAACGGAGATAAAATACTTACTTGTAATACTGAAACCTGTTTCCAAAGCAGGATATGAATCTCCATTAAAATCAGTTCCTCCTTGAGCACCAGATATTCTATAAACATATCCATTTCTTGTTATTTTCCTTACATAATTGTAATCTGAGAAGAAAACTTCTCCTTCCTTGTTGACAGCTATATGTGTTGGATTAGTAATCTTGGCATAAATTGCTAACCCTCCATCACCACTATATCCTTTTTGACCTGTACCTACTACTGTTGTTATTATTCCAGTTTCCAAATTAACTCTTCGAATGCGTTGATTTTCAAAGTCACAAATATAGAGAAAGAATCCTAAACTCGACTTGGAAACTGCAATACCTTTTGGAAAATTTAAGAGAGCCCCAACAGCCAATCCACCATCACCTGTTGTTTTTTTAATGAGATATTAGTAGTAATTGAAACTTACCTTCATATCCCAATGTACTAGTCCTTCCTGCTACTGTACTCACTATTCCATTCATTGTATTGAACTTTCTTACAACATTATGAGAAGAATCTGTAAAATAAACATTCTTCTCATCATCAAAAGCAAGGTTTTCAGCATTAAGAATTGCATACTTCAAGTACCAACCATCACCAATTCCACCTCCAATAATTTCAACTCTATAACCATTGGCAATATCAATTTTCTTAACTAAATTCCCATCGGTGATATAGAGAAATTTATCATCTCCAGTTATTCCCTTTGGAGATTCAAAAGTAAGCTCTAGTGTTGATACAATACCCGTATTCAACATTCTTATTTTCTTGTTGTCAGTATCTGCAATGTAAATAATATTATTATATGTAATAAACATTGATAGAGGGTTATTGAGCTGAGTGGTGGTTGGGAAATTATCTCCATTGTATCCCTTCTCTCCTGTTCCAATAATTGTTTTTACGGTTTTTGATTCAAGATTTGCTTCACGAATCCTTTGGCCATATGTATCTGAAATGTACAAGCGGGAATGGAAGTAAAATAATTGAGATGGATTGTTAAATAACGCGTCGAGAAAGAATCCATCCTGGAATCCTTTCTCTCCTGTTCCAGCTAGAGTTGTGATAATTCCATATCTATCGATTAGTCTAATTCTATTGTTATCAGAATCAGAAATAATCAAGTCACCACTATATGTTTCAACTATGCCATAGGGGTTGTTAAGACTTGCATTAGTAGCCAAACCATTATCACCCGAAAATCCAGGAATACCATTACCTCCAACAGTTGAAATAATGCCATTTGGAAGAATAGCTCTAATTCTATGATTACCAGAGTCAGATATATAAATTTTTCCAAACTCTGAAACAAATACACCAGATGGAGAGTTTAGGGATGCTTCTGTTGCGGCTAGCCCATCACCACTAAAATTTGCAATTCCATTTCCTGCCAATGTAGAAATAAGTCCAGTTTGTATATCAATTACTCGTATTCTATGATTATTCGAATCAGAAATGTACAGTTTTTGGTTTTTAAGAAATATTCCTCTAGGATTGTTTAAGGTTGATAATGTTGCCTTAATATTATCAGGTACATTGACTGGTGATAGCAATCCTGATAATTGAGTGAAATTTCCTTGGTTATTCCTCAAGTAAATATTATTATTCACAATTGCATACATATCATTCCCATACTTTGAAATAAAAGATATCTTATCCACATTCATTCCAACAACATCCATGAATGGTTTGTTTGGAACATAATGTCTTATAACAGAAGACGAATGTTGAGTGAAAATAATGGAATTGTCCTCTTCACAAAGTGTCATCGATTCAACGTTTTGAATATCTGAGATATTTGCTGGTAATGTATAGTATTGAAGATTAGAATCCGATGTTCCAATCACAACTCTTCCAATACTATCATTATATCTCTGAAATTCTTTTAAAACGTTTCCAACTGAAACTAAATAATTTCCCTCATTGTTGATTGTTAGAATTCTAGGAATTTTGGCAGATTTTTCAAACACTAACACAGTCTCAGAGGAATATGAACCAATTGCCTTCTGGATACTACCATAATTGATATAGTAGATATCATTTTCAAAAACAGCAGCTTTAGAAAATGAATAGAAAGCATAATGAGTTTCATATGTTTGATTGGGAAATATTCTAAGAATCAAATTGCCTGTGTTTACTACCATATCATTCCCTGCAAAAATTAGTTGTTGTGGTTCCCTTACAAACCCTTTTTCTGTTTTTAGAAATATTAAATGTTTTAAATAAATTGAAAATTAACACACACTTACGAAAAACATTCCATAAAATTCCATTCCTATCAATACGTCGAATCAGATGATTATTTGTATCACAAATATAAACCTCACCATCCTTAACAAATACAGATTGAGGTTGGCTCAGTAAGGAATCGATAGCTGGTTTTCCATCACCTTTACAATGTACATTCTCATATTACAAAATCAATTTACTCCATTACGTACCATTATATCCCGATGAACTCAAAGAACCTGCAATCCTCTGAACAGTTCCACTTTCTTCACTTGCCGAATAAACAGTCGACTCGAGTCTATTGGAAGTAACATATATTAAAGTTCCTCCTTCCTGAGTTTTCAAAACAAAGAATGATGAAATATCATACCATTTCTCACCACTAAATGATAACTTTCTCAATAGTCCATCTTGTTTTGAATATTTGTAAATTATTTCCATGGAGGAGATGTAAATAATTTCATCACCATGTAAACTTCCATCACCATTTCGTGGCAATACAATTGCCTGTATTGATAATCCCCAATAGTAAGTGGCTGGCAAACCACTCGGAAAGTAATTTTGCAATGGCCTCGGATATCCAATAATTGTTTGAACACTATAGGTGGCCAAATTATTATAATAAATAGAGGAATTTGATGAAGATGATTGATAAATATTTGTTGATTGCACAAAACACATGCAAAAAGCCAACAAAACTAAAAGTTGGCAATGGTAACTACCAAATACCTTTTTCATTGTTTTTTCTGTGTGAGAAAAGCCAAAAAATAAATGGGCCTTTCGTGTTTCTGTAATACAATTACAGTACCAACGTTCAAGTTCATCTGTCCAACCAACATCAAGTTTCATAATAAAGATTTCAATTCAATAATTTATTCAATGTTAACTTGGAAAATTAGGTTTTTAAGACGTTGAGCAATAGTCAAATGGAAAATATTGTCAACTGTGGAATATCTTTGAAGTAAAGATTTTGGAATTTGCATTTGGAGAATTTCATCCAACAACTTGTTGAGTGTTCCAGTTGTTGCTTCTTGTAAGAGTTGTGTTCTTTGCTCAGCAGATAATGGAGATTCTCTATTTTGTACATAGAAACTGATGTGTCTGAATAAAACAATCAAAGTATTTTCTAACAAACTGATGTGAGTGTTGAGGTGGATATCAAGTTTAAGTAATTTTCTGGAAAGAATTGTTCGGCAAAGCAACTTGGCTTCATTTGGAACACTGTCTTGTTTTTCAAAGAAGCTTAAGAAATGTTCTTCTCCTAAAATTGTGTTTGCTGAACGAACAATATTATTCAATTGTTCAATCTTCAATTGATCCAATTGTTGCAAGTTGGATTCACAAGTAAATCTTTCCTCGAGAGCATTGTTCAATCTATGGTATCCATTTTGCAACAACAAACCAAGTACATGAATAGATGGTCTTTGGTCAAGCTCGAATGGCTTTGGAATAATATCTTCATCCAAGGCCATTTGTTTACCTGAAGCTGAATTTGGTCCAGAAATAAAATGGGTAAATAGAACTTTTCCTATCAGTTCCAAACTTGATCCACTAGTTAAGAATTCTGGGTATTGACATACTACTCTACAGAAATTGATTATTGTTTTACAAATTTCGTCAATACAACATCTCTTTTGTTCCAAACTATACTCGAATTGCAGCTCTCCAGTTCTGATACCATTTTCATCAGCCATGTTGGCATCAAGAATATTGATAGTCTTCTTCGTAGATCCCAATTGTTGAATAGTATTCAGTTTAACCAACGCGTTCAACATTAACTTTTCATACTTATTAGTATGTAATTTAGAAGACATAACGTCTTGATGAAGAGACAAAAGATACATCATCTCTGTAACCAAACGAACCAATTCCAAAGAACCCGAATCAATATTAATCAAATTCTTTTGAATATTTTCCATCTTAAGAATTGCAGAAATTGACTTTCTGTGTAGCTCAACAAATGACAAGACTTGTTCAGCAACCTTCTTATTAATTCTCATATGTGATTGAATGGCGACAATGAGCTTAATTGCAGGAATAACAAGTTGATTATATTTTTCAGTGATAGAAGGCTCCCAGTCAGCTTCCATATCATCTTCCATATCCATCTTTCTGCCATATTGATGAGAAACAATTGAAGGTCTCAAATCGATAAAGGTGAAATGCGAGCAAATCTTGGTAATAACTTCAAAGCTCATCATAATTTCAGCACTCTTAACATCAACATCAGTAAACTTGAGAAGGAATGACATAGCATTTTCATAAATGAAAAGTCTGTTTAAAGAAGAGGCATCAGTATCGTGAAGGGTTGGTTGTAACACCTTAGGCAAGGAATGTTTGGCTTCTGTCATAACACTATCCAAAATTTGTTTCAAACATCCACTTGACTCAAAGTAAGTGATCCATTTACCTCTTTGGGCAATGTTAGTGGTGTATGTGAAGAAAGTTTCCAAAAGGGAGTAAGAAACAGCCTTCCAAATGTTCTTAGCATCCAATGCATCCTTAGCTACAAGGGCGAAAACTCTCAAGTCATACTTGTCAATAATGTGTTCAGTATTCTTTTGAAGATTCATTATTTGATCACTTCCATAGTTAAGCTCGTTTCTCTTGGTGTATTGCAAATAGTTGATAAGTGTAGAGTAAAGATTACCTCTTATGGATTGTTCACTTTGTTCAGAAAGTAAAATGCATTCAAGTAAATTTCTGAAAATTGTGAGGCATTGATCAACTGGAAGCATGATGACTTCACCACTAGTAATGAATTCCTCTCTTAACTTGGACATGACTCTCAAAATTACTTGAGAAACCAAAAGTTCCAATTTTTGTTGTTGTTTACCTTTGTTAATTCTCTTCATTTGGAAAAGTTTGAAAAGCAATGAACTAATAATATCGTGCAATATTCTCAGTCTCATTCCATCATCCGGAATCATACCAAAACATTGGGACAAAGTAATTTCTACTACTTGTTTCCATCCATCGAATGAGTTAGAAGTTGATGCCCAATTCTTCAAGAAAAGTTTCCACTCCTTTGAATCTTGTGCAGGAGCATTTTGAGCCAAGTTCAAGTCGATAGTGTCCAAAATTTCGAGCATGAGGGCTCTTCTTTGCTCAAGTAAATCGTAAGAACGACTGAAATCAGAAAGTGAGTCACCACCAAAAAGAATGTGTACCAATTCTTGAACACCTCCTCTGTTACTATCACCCTTCTTGAATGCCTTTGTGTTAGAGTATAATTTGAGAGCAACAATTCTAATAACAAAACCTCTTTGGTTGAGAATATGATGGGCAAGAGGTGACGGTTCAATCTTTGTGGAGAAGTTAGCATTCTTCAACTTATCAATCAAAAAGTTGGCCTTTTCAAGGCAAGCAAATGTTTGTTGACTAACTCTTCTATCAGCACACAACTTGTAAATAAGTTCATAACATGATTCAATAAATCTTGGATGAGTAATTGGTAATTGTTTAGATTTCAACAAGTTAAGAATTACTGTGAGACAAGTCTTTTCATTGAAAATGTCGATTTCTCTTGGTTCGTCATTAGAAACATCAAATCCACATAATAAATGGCTCAAGTTTTCTCCAGGAGCATCAAGATTAGCCTTCAAAAGGTCTAACATTCTTAATCTAGTTTCATTATCTCTTTGCTCTTCTGTTACAGGAATTTCTTCAACATCAGAGCATTCTCTGTTTGTTTCAGTTGTTACAGCATGGAGATACTTGACGAAAAGCTTAACCACGGTCTTTTCCTTACGCTTGTCCTTGAACAAGCTTACCAACTTAGTAGCATTCTTGCTAATCAAACAAAGGATATTAACAACTCTATATCTGATTTCATTGTTATGTGAATAATCAATAAGATCAATCAATCTAATTATTAATGAATTAGGTAATTGGTACTCTAAACGTTTGATCACTAATGGAACCAAATGAAGCTTGCTTGTAGAACATTTAATGAAATCATCTTCTTTGAGTAAGGTAGTTTCAATGATTTCCAAAGCATAAATAACTGATCTTTCCAAAGCTTCTCCTTCTCTATTGTTATATCTTTCTTCTTCAAGATTAAAATCTTCTCCTATAACAATTTTAAATAATTCTTTTCTGAAAATAGTATCACTAAGCATATCTCTCATAAGTTGGAATCCAGCTGGAGGGTCATTGACTTTTGGTGTTTCGTCTTCGGATGATTTAACTTCCTCAAAATCAGAAGTAGATGGGGTGTATCTGGAAAGAAGTTTTGTAAATATTTGTAGACAAGACTTTGCAATCAGCCACTTATCACTTTGGTCCTTATAATATCTTTTTGAGAAATTATTAAAAACATCTTCTTGGATAAACTTGAGGAAGGGTGTGAACCCAACAATAGCCATTCCAGTGCTAGAAATAAGAGCGTCAATAAGTTCTAAGAATCCTAAAGTTTCATAGTATTCTCCTTCTTGAGCTTCTCTAAAATTCAATTGATACTTAATACCTCCCTTGCTTGAGACTTCGTATTTTTGATCTCTAATTTCATAATGGAGAATTCTACCCATTTGTGAAATAATAGCAAAAGCAATGTTGCTTGGTTCACCTTGGGATGGTTTCAAGAATGATGACAAGGTGGAGAAAACTTGACCCATCAAACATGGTGTAATTTTTGGTGCATACATCATTTCAAAAAGCAAACCTAACACACGCCAGTTTGTATTGTCCAAAATTGCAACTCTGCTCTGTTCAGAGTTTCTACATACAACTTCTACAAGCTTAAGAACAATCGAAATTGCATCAAGAGTTCTCTTCTCAAAAACAAAATCATCATTACTTGAACATTGTGAACGGAATTCTTCAAGTAATACTTTAAAGAAATATTCCCAGCTAAAAAGTGGATAAGTAGAGTCATTCAAAAGAGCAAAAACATTCGTTGCTCCCACAGAATCTCCACTGAATGAACAAAGTACTCCCAAATAATAAATGAATGTTACGTCAAGTTCTACTTGAAATTTGCAAAGGGAAGTAATTTGTTCACAGCATGTCTTTCTCAAAAAATCGTTCAATTTTGGATTAGCATCTCTATCAAAGTATTTGTGAGTATAACTTGGGAATCCACGATATAATTCAGCCAATAACAGTAAAATATCATTAAATTCTCTTGGAATATTTTGCTCATCTTCTTCAGATGCTTGATTGTCATCTCTTCTTGTTAAATAACTTCTCAATTCTTCAATTTGATCAACCAATGAATCATTAATACTATCTTCCAAATTTACAATAAAACTGGATATCAAGTCACCTAGTATGTTGACAATAAATTCTTTGACATTTTCACTTTCACTTCTGTAAACCTTGTTATTCAAAAGTCCAGTTGTGATGAATGCAAAAACTCCTCGCGATAAACTCTTAGAGAAAGCATTATCACTTCTTGTTAATAATTCAAGATTTGGTTTGATATTATTTTGAACTCTTAAACCAACACACCACTGTAAAGCAGTCATGGCTTCAAATTGAGTTCTATCTATTAAATAGCTCAAATCATCATGATCATCAGGCATTAAATTGTCCAAAATTTTGTCGAATTTCTCTATGAATTGTTGTTTGTATAAGCTGTTGTTTGGACTTTGTGTAACACCCTTAGGATCAATTCTAATCTTTCCGATTGTTGGATCCAATAAAGAAAGAATTGTTGTTGTTAATAAGTACAATATGCTAAAGATACTCTTTGTACCTATTGGAAGATATTCAAAAATAGATGGGAAGCTATATGAGAACTCCTCTTGTCTTTCTCCAATTCTGTTAGCTACACATTGATTAAACAAATTTTGTAATCCAATGAATGTGTTAAATACTTTGAAGAATGTATCGTCATCACATTGTATATTTGAACAAGCAAAGAACAAACATTCAGCAAAGCCTCTTCTTATTTCGACTTTGTACTTGATTTGTTCACTTGATTGATATACTTTTACGGAATCTTGATTACCTTGTTGTTCCAATGTAGTAATTAAATTTTGAGCTTCGTTAATTTGTTTTGATGTGGATGTTATTTGTTCACAAATTGATGAAATAATATTATCACTCAACAATTCATTAGTAAATTTAACAACAACATCTCTGGTATTAGGATGTAAATCTTCATTAAATCTAGATTGGAATAAAATCAATACTGATGATAACAATTTTAAATAGTCCTCGTAAAAAAGTTTGATAGATAATTGATATTCATGTACTCCATAAACTTGTGGCTAATTCAATAGTAAATTTGTGTAATATGTACAAGTACTTACTGGATTACTTTTTGTTGCTGTAAAAATCAAGCTGAGAGCAACCAACTCGTTAAGATTAAGAGCATCGGACACTTGGAGAACCAATTCCTTAAGTGAATCCGGTAATGTTGAAGGCACTCCTTTAATATCTACATTATTAGTTTGAATTTTGTTTCTGGCATCTGATGATTTTTCCTATTCAATTAAATTAATTTAACAATTATTGTTGTTGTACATACTGGAAACTTGAATTGAAAACTTGATTTGAAATTAGCAAGGAGTTGAAAGAATTTTGTTGTACTATCCTTGTTTTCTTTAATTAAACTTAGGCTTGAAACTCGTTCGTAGAGTGTATGAAAAGAATTTTCGTTATCAGGTCCAAAGGCAATCATTTTCCAAATCAATTCTATACTCTCCAAACTTGCTTGATGATGAAGATGATGATGTTTTGATGTTGTTGGTGTAAAACTTCAACAAGGCAGCAAACGCGGTGGAGAGGGTTTAAAATTTTTTTGAATTACGTAAAAAATAAAAAGCAAAAATTTGGCTTATTCCTTGTTTATTTGTTCAAGTATCATTGTTGCGGAAGGCTTTAATTCATTTGATTGGAATATTATATTTACAATGGAAATTGCTGAAAGCAAACATGATTAAATACTAGAGTATTATAATGCTGATGATAACAGTTTTACCTTGTCTAAATCTTCAGAAAATTCAAGCTCCACTTTGAAATAGGATGAACAACACTTGTGGAAAATTATGATGATGATCTATTATTAAAACATCCAAACCAGTAAAAAATGTTATCACGACAAAGTAACAATAAGAAACAACCTCCAAAGAGCAAGTTTGATTCATGGTCAAAAGAGGAGAAGGGTAAGTTTAATCGGCATTGTACATTTGTTTTAGATAATCATGTTAGAAATTGTAAGAGGACAAGTCTTGTCTCTTCACTCTTTATTTCCATCGAGAACTCCCGATGAAATTTTGAAGATTTATCTTCAAGAAGAAAAGGATGAAACTGCTACGATTAGTCGTTTGATCATGATGCAAGAAGAAGAGGAAGAAAAAGCAATAAAAGAATCGGCACCAAAAACATCAGAAGGAGCAACTATTGACATTTCCAATGATAATAGTAAAAAGGATAATGATGATGAAGAAATGTTGGAAATTATTGAAGAATCTTCATCTTCTGTAGTTGGCAATTCCAATGTCGATGTCGATGAGAAAACTAAACTGGAGGAAACAATGGTTGAAACTAGTGATATAGCCGAGGATGAAGATGTCGAAATTGATGATTATGGAAGTGATATTGAAATTGATGATGAAGAATATCAAGAGGAAGAGGAGGAAGAAGAGGAAGTTTATAGAGATCCAACAGAAGATGATGAAAATCTCTTTGACTATGACGATAATGAACATATTGTACTTGATGTGACAGATGCCTATGAATACTCAGAGGAAGAGTTGCACAATCAAACTTTACAATCAGAATTGAGAAGAAAAGCAATGGATCCAAAATTCTTCCTCGATTTGAAAAAGGAAGAAGAAACTCTGGAATATTTGTGGGAACAATACAAAAAGAAAAAGAAGGACTACAAGGTTCTTATTGATGAAATGGATATTATCAGAGAGCAAGATGAAGAAGTTCAACATACAAAGGATTTGATTCAATGGTCAGGAGCTCAAAAAGATCAAATCGTTCTTACAATGTTGAAACAGTACAGATGGAGAAGTGAAAATATTTCGCACGATTACTGGGAAAGGGGTGAAAATTATGTATTCAAATTATGTGGTATTCCAATAGGCGAAAAACAAACGAACGATGATGACAATACTTGTCCTGCTTGTTTCTGTGATGATGTACCAATGACTGAGAGTCCAATGTGTGGTCATTCATTCTGTAATGCTTGCTGGAAATCATATTTAGAAGTCAAGATTAAGGAAACTTCAGGTTTAGGACAAACACGTATCAATTGTATGGATTGTAACGCTGCATTGACCCAAGATTTTATCTTTTCATTCTTCAAAAATGATGAAAGAATCAAGAGACGTTTTATTGAGAACAGAATTGAAACCTATGTGAGTGATCACTTTATGGTTACCAGATGTCCATCAAATCGTTGTAAATGCGCTATTAAGAAAACTATTGATGAACCTATTCACTATGTGAAATGCTATTGTGGAGAAAGGTTTTGCTTCCAATGTGGTAAGGAACCTCACTTCCCTTCCACTTGTCAACAGGTGAGTGATTTCAAAGGTAAATCGAGCGGTATGTCAGAAGGTGCATCTATTGCATTTATTCAAGGTAACACAAAAGTCTGTCCAAATTGCAAGAAGGCAATTGAAAAGAATGGTGGTTGTAATCACATGACGTAAGTTTTATAATTTTTCAAATATCCTAACAAAATAATAGTTGTTCGATGTGTAGACATGAATTCTGTTGGTTATGTTTTGTAAGTAATTTCAAAAATAGAAAATCTTAACATTGGTTAGGGAAAATGGAGCACCCACAATTTTGAAGCATGTAAAGAAAGAGTTGTTGAGCATTCTATGAATTTAACCAAAAATGAAATTCACCAAAAGAATCTTTATCATCACTACATTTACTATGAGGGTAAAATGAATGAACACAAACAGTGGTTACAACGTGAAAAATTCAATCACTACATGAAGAATAACATTCAACAATTCAAAGCAGATATTTACATGCACACTGATGTACCATATAAGCACTTGTTTTGGATTGATGAAATGTTAAAGAAGGTAAAGGAAGCAAAACGTTATCTTCACGGAGCTTATGTCTATGCATTCTGTGCCTTTAATGAAGAGTTGGCAGAGAAGGACAAGAAGAGTAATTCAACCAAAGCTTCTCTGCTAAACATTCACTCTAAGGAATATAAAATCAAGAAGGAGCGCGAGAGATGCTTCCTCCTCTTTGATACTCACTTGAATAATTTGGAAAAGGCTGTTTCTACACTTTTACAAAAGTTGGATTTCTTAACAGATAATGCTTGGAGTGATTATTTACAAGATATTTCAAAGCAAAAGATTTATTCTGAACAATATACTATGAGACCTTACTTGACAGGTGTTGCTAACCAATTAGAGGGTTTACAATCTGTGATAGAAAGTGTAGATATGAAATCTTTGATGTAAAATTAACATTCTAATGTCAAAAAGTTCAGTTTGTATTGTTTTGGTAAACTAAGCATTAAATCGCCACAAAGGAAAAGTCGTTAATCAATTTAACGTCATTAAGGAATGACTCAATAACAGCCCGTCTAGCTCAGTCGGTAGAGCGCAAGGCTCTTAACCTTGTGGTCGTGGGTTCGACCCCCACGGTGGGCGATTCCTTTTGCATTAAACCAACATTTAATTATTTATCTTTGCTTCCACAACTTGTGTCAAATCTTTGGAAAGATCTTTTGGATTATCCAAGAATGCAAATAGAAAGGCATTTGTAACTTTATCCACAAATTGCTTCTCACCTTGTCTCTGTGGAATGTGTTAAAACAATCATTGTATGGGCTAAGCAGTCATGTTCTCTAAGATTTTGTAACAAAAAGTATCTACTATTTAAATAACTCACAATT